CCCTTCTCCCCGCTCATTTTGTGTTTCTTAGGAGTCAAAAAAGCGTGTTTTTTCCAGAATTTCTGCCACCGAATCGCCCCAACTCTCACCGCCGTGAAAAAGGAAGACTGTTTTTCCACTCGGCAAAGTTTCCCTGCGGAAAGGCAAGCGGTGAGTTTAAAAAGAGCCGATAAACCCCGAGTCCTGGACCTGGAGAGACCTCGGGAGACAGAAACTTTTGTTTTTCCTTCTAAATAAAATCTGCGACGTGGACAACTAAATCTCCAAAGTAATTAATTATTATTCTTTAAAGGGTCTTCTCTAAATATGAACTGAAAAGCAGGAATTTGAACCGATATTTTAATCGCAAATTGATTTCAAAGAGAAGGAAGTAACACAGGCTCATCTTGAGCACTGAATATGGATTAGAAATTAGCTTCTTTGTCCAAAGTGCTTTACCCTTTTAAAAATAACTAAAATAAATTAAATTAGTACATTATGTAACAGGGCAGAAAGCAGAATAAACATCTGTGAAGGACCGGTTTTGTCTCAGAAGGAGCTGACTTTTTAAAGTAGAGCAGTTAGCACTATGTTGCTCTGTGTGCACAATACAGACATGGTTACCTATTGCTGTGTTACAGGGCGTTAATTATCTTAATATATTAGGTCACATCAGAATTTCACACAGTTTTCACTATGGATTTTAATGAATACTCTAACACTTTGCATTCAGCAGCTTTTTTTTTTTTTAATCCAGTTCAATTTGTGAAAATCTGAGTCATCCTTATCTAAGGAGACACTCCTGCAAATGATTCTCCACGCATCTACACCATAAAACTTTATCAACTTATCCTTTATGTTTCTCCTTTTAAAGCAGAATGCTAAATATTACATTCATGCTGTATAGTGATTGATTCTTGCATTGGAATTACGATTTAAATTAGCACATTTAAGTCTCAAGTATCTATTATTCTAAAATGACTAGCTGCTAGGAAGAGAGGGAAAGCCTTCCCATACACTTTATGAAGACCATATTTAAACCATTTAAAAATGAATGCAGCTTATTTCTCATAGCACAGACAACTAAAAAGTTATTTTCTGATATTTTATTATTATCTATGACTCTTCATTTTTAAAAAGATCAACTGAAAACTGCTCTTTTCCTCTTGCTAGTCTGACTGTTAGCAGTGCTAGAGTTTCATATTCATTTTCAAAAAATTATTAAAATATGCTTATTGTCCTATAACCACTGATCTTCATATCTATTTTAGTTTCTTATATTCAGTGCCATATATAGCATTGAATCAAAACTGGCAACAGTCCTTTTTACCTTAAACTGCCTGTCAAGTCATTACAAATTATTCTCAAATTTATTCAAACTCCAGATAGAGAATGGACACAATAGCTCAAAGCAATGAGTAAACTATATTAAAAATTAATAGTTCTGCATGCCTGTTGTTAACTGAAAATGGCAAAATCCATAATTCTGAATTCATCTAGAAGTGGGCAGGGTTGTTTTGAATTTCATTAATGATTCCTTTCAATTTGACATAGGACTAAGCTGAAGGAGGAAAGGATTGCTAGATGCATGGTTCTTTCTTACAGCAATATTCAAAACTGTGTTTTTCTTATTCCTACCAAAGCAAACAAAATTCCTCTGACACAGAGTAATATGGTTAGTTTTGTTAGTGTGTATTCCCCAAAGGTTAACACATAATTTCCAGTCTGTTTGAAATTCAATGCTTTTAATGTTTCACTTTTATTTTGTTCCCTACAAGCTAGGCCCTTAGCACACCTAACTTCTGACAGCAGAAACTGACAGCAAAAAGAAAAAGAAAAAGCACACTCACATACACACACACACACACACACAAAATAAAAGCACTTTCTCCTTAAGTTCTACAGCTCCTTTTTTGATAGAGTGGGTGGCTCTAAAAAGAGCCTTTGGGTTACTTTTGAGATGGAAACGCTCCTCTGCTGTGTTTTATTTGCTCTTGGCCTTGTGGCTCTCGGTCTTCTTGGGCAGCAGCACGGCCTGGATGTTGGGCAGCACGCCGCCCTGCGCGATGGTCACCTTGCCCAGCAGCTTGTTGAGCTCCTCGTCGTTGCGGATGGCGAGCTGCAGGTGGCGGGGGATGATGCGCGTCTTCTTGTTGTCGCGCGCCGCGTTGCCCGCCAGCTCCAGGATCTCGGCCGTCAGGTACTCCAGCACGGCCGCCAGGTACACGGGCGCGCCGGCGCCCACCCGCTCCGCGGAGTTGCCCCTG